GTGATCGAGGAAATTGCTAATGGAATCTTCGTAACCCTGAGCCGTCTGTTTGAGGAAGATGGCCAAGTGCGGCTGTTGCTGGACTACCTGCTCCCGTTCCTGTACTTCTTCAGCGCTGAATGATCCGAGGCATCCTGAGCTTCGGAAGAAGCTGAGGAGTGATGGAGACTTCTACGAATTCCCGATGTTATTAATATTACCTGTTTTCCGAGTTATCGTGTGCAGTGCTCTACATCAATAGTCTAGTTCTAAAGGCAGTGTTGTGATTTGTGGTAGTGTTAAATATTAAAATATGTGCCATTATGAACCTTATTTTAGACGGTTTAATCTAATTACCCAGTGAAATAAATAAATGTTTGTCTTCGAAGTTGTTTGGTATTTTGATCAAGTGTTTCCTAACTAAATAAAGAAATGTGTTTTATTCTTGCTAATGTATTGGTACAATAGTAATGGACATTCTTGGACATTGTAATATCACGAGGTTTAAACCTATTTAAACATAATTATTATTATTGAAAGTTTTTCATATCTATACTCTTTCTAGTTGTTGTTATCAGTGGCCCTTACTATGGCCATAAAAACAATTATGAATAAAATATAATATGTACTCTATACATACTCAACTCTGCATATCTCTTCTGAGATACGTTAGTAGCTAGTAACTACTAGCTACATATAATGTTTTAGGTATGATGTTTTATCTGAATCGTGTTGAATGTTGAATTTAAACTTAATCATGTTGTTAATAGATTTAATTTTAGAGATGTATTTGTCTGTGTCTTTGAACTATGAACCTAATATCTTTTTTTTTACTTAGCCTTTACTGGTTTATTCACCAATTAAAAAATAAGATTTAATCATCTATTTTCTGAAATGTATTTCAAGACGAGGAATTATTTTTGTGTAGCACCTGTTGATCTAGAAAATTAAGTTTTGTATACTATTCAACTCCTACTCAAACCGAATTTACCCTTCTAGTAATTAAATGTTGCTTGCTCATTTTGCCACTTTGATGTGCTCATGTCGTTTTAAAGATATAATAAATCTTGGTGTGACGTAATTGAAATTGTTTTATTTTTTAACCCTAATAGAAGCCTGACTTAAACTTCTTGCCTATTTCTTGCTAATTTTATAGTCACCGGCGTGACAATTGAATTTTATGATCTCCTAGACATATAAATAAATATCTTATAACAGATGCTTCTATGACAGTGAGCTCTATAGAAAAAACATTATTTAAATCTTGGGTTCGATTCCCGAGGTCCATGTAAAAACTACTGTGATATTCTTACACTGGACAAAGTGTAAGAATATCACAGTAGTTTTTACCATGGACATAACCTGCTTCCTTTTTTTGTGGTACTAATTACTGGATCACATCATCTATTTAGATGAAAGTTATGGTGATACAATTTATATCTGCCTACCTAGTCAGCGACAACAAAGAATTGTTTATCCAAAATATCATCTAAAAGAAGCGAGATAATCTCCTATACTTAACATCTATTAGACCCCGATCTCTAAATGGAACTAGGTCATCTAACAAATCGATGAAGCACACCCACACACATACGGGATAACCGATGTTTACAAAAACAATGCACACAAACAAAGTGCACTTTAGAATTTGTGACAGAGATAGAAAAATGAAATGGACGGTATCTAGACGTGGAACGCGCGCCTTTTTTAGCCCCCGTACCAGGATGTAAGCGTTCTTTAGAGTAAAACGAGGATTAAGCCCTAGAGGCACCTCCTACCAATATATGCTCGCCTGCTACCCGACTAAAAACTTCATCGATTGGATAGGCCCTCAGTATCACGTTCTGTGTAGTGCACAGGTTCAGATTTATGACGGGTGGACTTGTTGTTAAAGAATAGTATTATAACGTATATGTTGTTAAAATAATAAAAAAATCAAAAGAAGATCAAGATTCTTTAAAAATTCAAATTTGTTATACGTACTATATATCTTTAAGATACCAGTAAGATATTTTTTCAAAAAATTATTGTAATTCAATTTTATTCATTTATACATCTACATATTTCAAAATAAAACATTGGTTTAATAATACTTGATTATAATTGAAACAACACTGTAAATACAGTTCTTAGCTTCGGGGAATTACAGGCGTTAGGTCTTAGTCAGATTAATAGGAGATGGTCGCGTCGAATGTCAAAAGGTGCCGTTAAGTTATGAAGGTATTAATGATAAGTGTGGAGTCGAGCCGGGCCGCGGTAACTACAAAGTTTATCCGGTCATTAAGTAAGTAATGACGAGGGACTTACTAAGATTGTATTAAGTTACTGTCATTCTTCTACAGTTGGTACTCGTAGGTATAAATTATGTGTAAAGAATTGAGTGAACCGACAGCTTATTATCATCTTTAAGATTAAAATTTAGTCTTTACGGGTAGCGATTTTTTTACAAAACTGTATGTGTCGTGAGTGTTTGCTTAACATGATTGTTTCGACTTTTCTTTTTATTAACATATATATCCGACAATACTAAAGTCAACAGAAATGTTCAAATGATTGTCTTTTTTAAAATTATTGACGTTTATCCGTTTTTGTATCCAAAACAAATACGGTTACGAAAGGCCTACGCTGTTTACTACGAAACCCGTAGCGCAGGCTACACACGGCTACGAAAATAATATCACTTCAACTCCAGTCTAAACAAGATAACAAAAATGTAAAGACAACTTGTACAATGTTATCCTAAACATATTTTGCCTAATGTTGGTCATAATGTAGCAGTTACAGTAATTTGAACCTTATTGCATTAGCGTTAAAGTTAGTCAGCTGTCACCAACACAGCTTATCAAAATATAAATTCTCATGCGCAATCATACATTTAATGGTGTTTACTAGTTCACCTGAATGAATGCCTTCTTCTCGAGTAGCGCAATGAGTCACAAAGTCGCTGATGTGCACAAAATATCAGTTCTCAGAGGCCACGATCACTCGCTAAGCAAAGGATGTGCTTATCTGAATAGTGCGCGTCGGACTCGCCGGGTTTACGTTACATAGTAATCTAATAAACGCCGACATTTACTGTACCAACATGTGTAACACGTCTAATAAATCGTTACATGTCGCCCCGAATGCGATTTCACGAATTTTCGGTTTGTAATAATGGTTGGAAAATCAATTAAACTTCAGCAATAAAATATCTAATTGCACACCAAAAATTAAGGCGAAACCGTAAAAACCTCAAAGCAAACATCACTAGATCGTAAAAGGTGATGAATGGAGGGTTCAAGATCAGGCAATGATCCGCCGGCTGCGCGCGCGCCGCTCCGAGCGCCCGCGCCATCTTGTAGGCGGAGCTTGCGAAGTCGTTCGTGTCGGAGCGCATCTTCCTTTTAACTCAGTATTCCGTGGAAGCACTGCGTTGGAAAGAGAAAAGTAGCTTTGGAGTAGTGAACAGCTATGTATGTAGTATGTTTGTCATCTCCACCGTACCTGATGAACTATTTTAGAGATTGGTAGTCAGGTACTCACTATACTATCTACACCGTTGGAACCCATCTTTATGGAATGATGACATGAGGTATTTTCGCGCCTTTGTTCAATATTGCTCATCACTTCCTTTAAAAAGTTTCGTTTTAATCCAAAATAAACGTGTAATCGTTTTTGCTGTCTGTTTACGAAATAAACAGAAAATAAAAATTACAATAGTCGTAGTATTAATGTTTACTACAGTGGCAGTGATTGTTTATGGAAAAGATCAGCAACCCGCGAGCGCATCCGTGGACCGACACGTATTTATAGCACCATTCGATAATAATGATTTATTTATTTATAACGACATCGTGTTACGTCACTACTATGACGGTAAGTAAAATGTAACATACTGAGGAACTGACAGATTTTGATACATACCGTATTTTTTCTGTTTAATGGATTCAAACTTTAAAGACGTGTGACGTGTTTTGTCCATTGGCATGCCACTATGTACGTGCTACCTACATGTTTGTACTTATTAAATAAATGATTCGCTCTAGACTGGTGACTCTGTATATCTATGCCAAAATTACTTCCTATTAAAGATAAGAAGTTGCGTGGGCGCTGCCGAATAATAGACTCCTTACTTATTGTAAGTATTATCAATCTCAGTGTTTCGTAGATGCAGCGAATTTATTTAAAAACACATCGTAACGTCATATCTTAATGTGCAGCAATAAAGTGGAAGTTTATTTAATAAAGCTCGTTACAATGTCTTCCTCTTCATTCTCTTCAATGGTGGGAAGAACTGCCAAACGCCATTGATTCTTCGTTTTACGATATCTAAACTAAATCATATGTTGACCGAATAAAGTTGGTTTTCGATTGTACTCTTTAGTTTACACGTGTGCGAGTAAATAAATCCGGCAAGTTTAATGCAAAACTTTTGGTTTACGCTTTATGGTAAATATTTGGTGTACGTCGTATAACTGTTTTATAGTTCTAGTAAAATGTTTGGTTTAATTGTGCTAGGTCAAGAGCGGGCGTTCGACAGGCGTCCTTGCGACGGGTAAATATTATTGTCTAAGCGGGTTTTCCGCTGTTTGGGTGTTTGTATGAGTTTGTGGATGATACAGACGGGGATCCGCCAGTGCAATGACCGCACTAATACACATGACCACACATCCTGCGACCAAACACTCTCAACCTCCAGTCGGTTCTAGCTACTGACATCTAAAATAATAAATACTCAGAGCATATCGTGAACTTACCGATAATACCGATGTATTCGGTGAAAAAACTTCAACTTTACAGGGCTTCTTCTCAAGACGTTTTGCTTACATAATTGTGTAACTTATTCGCGTCGCGCCGATTATGCGGGTAAGTAGGTAGGTTTAGTTTCTCTTCAGTTTTTGCGCGTGATGGTTTAGCGTTTCAGCGAGTATCGGTTTGCCAATAAGCTGGAGTATAGAGGCGGACGTGGGAGTGGTGCCGTGTAGCGGTGGGGCGGCAGCGGGGCGGCGCTGGGCGGCGCGCGGCGCGGCACTCGGAGGCGGCGCGCGCGCACTGTAAGCTCGCACGCGTACCGACGCACACGCACGAGCACGCATGAAGACCGAGGACCAAACCACGGAGGAGGCGGCGCGCCGCGCGCCTGCCACCCGAAGACAAGAAAAGCCGCCCTTCTCTTACATAGCCCTAATAGTGATGGCTATACGACACTCGCCAAACAAAAGATTGACACTCAGCGAAATCTATGCGTTCCTGCAACAACAGTTTCCATTTTTCCGCAGTTCATATCAAGGCTGGAAGAATTCTGTTCGCCATAATTTAAGTTTAAACGAATGTTTCGTGAAATTACCCAAAGGCCTGGGCAGACCGGGGAAAGGGCACTACTGGACGATAGATCCTTCATCTGAATTTATGTTCGAAGAAGGTTCGTTTAGAAGAAGACCACGTGGCTTCCGTCGGAAGTGTCAAGCGTTGAAGCCTCAGTTTGGAAGCGGTAGTTATCTTTGTGGGGGTGGCGTGCCGGCACTACCACCGTCACAGCCGACGGGCTATGAGCTCGCAAGTGGCAGCGGTGCAGGGTCCAGTGGCGGCGGGTCCATAGACTATGGTGCGTGCGCGTACTCACACGCCAGCTCGAGTCAGCAGCTGGCTTACGGCGGGGAATACTGCGCGTACGGAGCCATCAATGAGCGCGAATGGCCGCTGGCGTACGGCGGCGTAGAGGCTGGGTACCGGCCGCCGCCAGCCTCGCCACCGCCGCATCACGACTTGCCGGACCTCATCCCGAACTATCAGTATGCTGTAGCTAATGAACATGGTGAGTACAATATTATTTCCAAGCTTAAATTATGAAGTAACCGTTTTGTGGTCCACTCTTCCAGTTGAAGCAGTTCACAACATTTATTACGTTTATTATTTGTAACAAGTGGACAAACCATTCAATTTTTATAGGAAATCAGCACCTCACTTTATATTTATCATTACTTTAAAAGTTATATGCAAACATGTAGATATAAAATATCATTGGCTGCCACTTTCAAAATTCTAAAGGATTTCAACATTTAAATGATCATGTTTACTGTTTACTAGTACTATACGAGGCAAAATGTAAAGATGACAGCAGCCTGCAAAGCCTGCAATAACTTATGGCCTTTATTAGATACTAATTTTCCACTAGCAGCTCCGCCCGCGTGGAATTTAAAAGGTTCCTTTCTAGGTATACCCGATTTTTTACGAATATCGGGATAATAAGTATATCCATTATTACACTCGCTGCATTCATTTCTAATGGCGAAAGAAATTTTCAAACCAGCCAAGTAGTTTCGGAGCTTATTCCATCGCAATAAACAAACGATGAAACTTCTTTACAATTTCATAGAATTAAAACGCATAAACGTTTAAATATGGAAAAATAAATGTCCAAGTAACAACCTCGTTTACTACAGTACAATAAGAACTCAGATCAATAAGAAATCATATCAGATCAACAAGAACTTTATAATTACTTTATACGACGAGTTTAAACGCATTTTTTAAATTCTTTTAATGGAAACCATACATTACTGTTTACTTATTACGTGAAACTTTAAACCCACACTTGCGAAAAGAATATAAGTTAATGTCAGAGTGTATACTAACGAATATGCCATACCATCATATGTCATGAATAAGTTTGGGAGAGCCAAGCTTCGGCACGAATGCTCGGCGGCTCGACCGGAGTAATAACCACGGCCTCACAGAAAACCGACGTGAAACAACGCTTGCGTTGTGTTTCGTCGTGTAGGTGAGGTTACCGGAGGCCCAATTATCCCGCCTACTCCTCAATCTCCCCAATCCCTGAAGCCCCAACAATCCTTAAATTCCTAATCTCTAAACGGCTGGTTACGCACTTGTAACGCCTCTAATGTTCTGGGTGTCAATGGACGACGCCGATAGCTTACCATCAGGGGTTTAGTCTGCTCGTTCACCGGTTTATTCCTAAAAAAAAGAAAAAAATAATTTTCAATAAACCACGTTAAAAAGACCTAAAAGATCCTTCTTTTTTGAAGTCGGTTAATATATTAATGTACTTTCTAAGATTATTTAGACACCACTGACAAACGGTGAAGGAAAAACATCGTGAGGAAACCTGGACTTATAATTTCTAATTATAAGTTTGAAATCGCCAACCCGCATTGAGCAAGCGTGGTGATTAATGCTCTAACCTTCTCCGTGTGAGAAGAGGCTTTGCTCAGCAGTGGGCATTTATAGGCTGTTGATGATGATGATGATGAATATATTAAAACTTTCACCTAAGTAATGACAATAACTTTGTCTGACAACCACATCAAAATCGGTCCAACAAACTTTGAGATAATCGCGGACAAACATATTATTCATACATACAGGTGAAACTGAGAACCTCTTCTTTTGTGAAGTCTGATATAAAGTGTATATACCTATGTTTGAAAAACTATATTTACTATCGGTATTTATTGATATTTGAAAAGTGAAAATAAAAGTGAATGATGCACGATTCCTAATAGAATGAACCGTTTAAAATGTGCCTAATCAATTAAATAACGTTTGCCCTACATTATCTACATGCTTTAATTATGGGTTATATTGTATATAGATCAAATAATACTAATTACTATTCATTTGAAATTAATTAAATTTTAGACAAAATGAAAATGCGATGCCGGTAAAGTACCTACTTACCTATAAGTATAGTCAAAGGCATTTGCTCATAAAATTCGAGTGTTTACTTTATTAAAAATAATTATGAAGTAAGTGATGCGTGATTAAAAAAAAATGTCTATCATAATTTGTGAGCGACAAAGTTGAGATTGACTTGGCACAAATTTTGTACGTGTGTAGCCTGCAGCTGTGGAAAAATGCCATTTAACGAATTGACATAAATTTTGACACATGTCGGTGTCATTCCCATACATTTAGTTTTCTACTCTCTCTGTAGACAAGTGCTAAAGTGGCGTTTGGCTAAGAGCACTGGACTGCATAACGCCTCGTCACTCGACTTTCTGCTGGTTAGACCGATAACTAGGTACCTAGATTTGTTAAATAGAACTTTATAAAGTAAATTAACTTTATAACTTTATAAAGTAAATTTCTAAACTAACATGATTGTGCAATGATATTATAAGTTAAAAAGTTGTAAGATAGGTGGATAAAAAGGAAGAAAAAATGTGGATAATTACTCAGCCTCATTTTAACCCAGTGTTGCATTGCGATGTCAACGTATTCATGTGTGCGTTTTTGAAGATCGAATGTTATTTACCATAAAGCCCACCATATGTTCTAAGGATACGACTTTCAAACCTTCAAGAAAAGAGCGTATCACTTTTTAAAAGGCCGGCAATTCACCTGGGTCCCCTTTGGTGTTGCGGGTGTCCATGGGCGGCGCTGATTGCTTACCATCAGGTGACGCGTCTGCTCGTTTGCCTACTATTCCATAAAAAATAGCATGCTAAAATGCGTTCTAATGACCATGTTCAAAAATCGACCGCCTGTCGATCCGCAAGCATGCCCGACATTAGCATGTTAATTTTGAGCAATATTCCGACATACATGCTACTTGATAATTACTACTATGTGTCAAGTATTCAATTGAAGCATGCTTTCGTGTTTGATAACAGTTTTTTTTAAATTATGTAGGCAATCTATCGACTCCTCTTTACTCACAATTATTATCACTGTGATTGTATTATGTTATATATTGTGCGGTATACACCGCACATATTTAATTTCAAGCAAACAAGAGTTTAAACTACTTCTGTATTTGTTAAATGTAACTGAAACTCTGTAGTTTTGAAGAAAAGTTTTAACGTGATATGTTATACGCGTATGTTGATTTTTTGAGCGCATATAAGTACCAGGCACAATGCCGTAGGTACCTACACCGCACTATTACTACAAATTTTTAAAGTAGGTATGCTCTTTTTCTATCGATCGAATAATCGAATATGCAATCACTTACGCGATAATCACATGTATAACCACTTATCGCCAAAACTAACAACCAATCTTACTTATCCGAAAATCTAGATCAATCTAGGTTTTTGATAGAAACTCAAAAGAGCTAATGGACTATCATCAATTATTAATTTCGCCCGTAAATCAATGAAACGAAACAGACTAGACAGTCGAAAGAAATATTTTCGAATTCAATTACACAGTACTGGGGCTACATTAATAGAAAGCTATTAGATTGTTTTCGCTATAAATACTCATTAGACGAAACTCATTATGCAATTAACCAAGACTTGCACTTGAACGGTATTTCTAAACACATTTATTCTAAGACTGATTCTTTAGTAGATTGGTTATGAGTGCGACTACTGAGCACAAGGTCGTTGTGTGATCCCCGGGTCGAGCAACGTGTTATTGGGTTTTTCATTTCTGCAAAATTACAATTTCAATTTAGCCCCAAGTGCAGTAGTACTGTAATCAGACAAGATTCACCTTCAAAGCACGTATTATATGTCCAACTGGTTTGATATCCCGACTTCAAAAACATTGGTTAAAGGACAAGCCACTTATGTCCAAGCACATAAATCATACCAGTAGAGCTCTCTGTTGCGACGTCAACAAACAAAAATAAACTTTCCATGAGTTTTCACATAACATTTATTTATTTATTATTATTACGGATCGCCAACGAATGCAACTTACAACATACACAACTTATGCAACTTACAAAACATAACTTGGGCTATTAATAAATTTTTCGTATCAAAATAAATATTTTGATGTACTTAATATTTTGTCGAAAGCAAATCTTTTTCAGTACCTACCTAAGTAAGAGAAACTTATATTAAATTTCCAAACCAAAATATAGAGGTAATTTCAGATTATTCACAGAGTGAAAAATACAACACACTACTACTATCATTCCATTTTTAAATGCATCTGGCGGATACTGGCCATCTAGAAACTAAACCGGCAGATGATTACCTAAAAAAAACTATTCGCCAAAACTAAAATTACGAAGGAGGTTAAACATACAAATTGGACGAAAGTTACCGAATAACGTAGTGTTGCCACACGCATAGATCTTTTAACAAGTATTAAATCAGACATCCTGCTGGGTAGGGAGCACCACTCGAGGCTGGGTGATGACGGCTCTGATCCTGAACTCACCTCAAGTGTGTTCGAGTGGTTTGAGAACAACACTACGCATACTCCGTACTCATTCATACTTAAGATGACGCACGGTAGGCCAGGTTTTTTATTCTGTGTGACTGATGGACGAAATACGATTTAAATGAGATATTTTAAACGTTACTGGTGGTACACGCACTTTCTACAGGAGCGCGAAACGCGATTTTTTCAATGAAAACCTGAACTTTCTCGCGTACTAAGTCTCGGGTCACGGTCAAAAACTTGTTGCGCATAAAGTAGGAATTACGCGAAACGTGCCTAAAAAATCAAATAAATAATTTTGAGCTACACACATTTATAATGTAACCTACTTTTTACACATATCATCTACCGGTATCGCTAACAATAATCCTTACGCCCGCCTAATGGTGTGTAGCTAGTACTTTATAACATAGCCTAATTACATTTCTGTTTAATTTGCGTTTGCATAACAAACTTAAGATACATTTTATTCAAAAATGAAATAGACATAGGTACGCAAATCTTGTAATTAAAACATATTTCCCGACATAACACTCCCATTGTAATAGAGATAAAACCTTTCCACATATAATACAAATCCAGCATCTATCCTAGGACACCTGTAGGTTAAACGCACACGTAAACCGTTGCATCGCTTCCTTACATAATATTATACAAGTTTCCATATCAGTCAAA